TGCTCCTGATATGTTTCAGTGGTATATACGGGCGGCCAGCAGCAGCAGCAGCAGCAGCAGCAGCAACAACAACAACAACAACAACAACAACAACAGTCCATACAAAATTTTTCGTATGCCTCTGTGACAACCAGCCAGTCGTATGCGCCTGCGGAGTATTCCAGTACATTGGAGTCTGGCTCCTATGATAATAACGCCTCATCCCTCAATCTGGTAGTTCCGATTCGTGAGCCGTCACCTGAGCCCGTAAGTTAATGAGTGTTTGCTTAACGATAAGTTTCCTATTCATTGTCTACTACGTGCTCTATTCAATTTTTGGCACTGGGTGATATATCGGCCCCCTCTGGTCCTTATATTCCCCTCTGGTCCTTATATTTCAAGCAGCTGCAAACTTCTTCGGGGCTTATGGTCTTGGAAGCATTCAGAAGCATTCAGATAGTGAGGATATACAGATAGACTTGCTTCACTGGGAATTGTTCTCTTGGTGGCAAAAGTCCTTATCTTCACTGCAATCCCATTTCTGCTTCAGAAGTCTTTTAAATGCCTCTTAAGAGTTTAGCGCCCCTTTTGATTGCAAACTGTCATTAAAAACTTTTCGCCTGAGTTTGGAGAAAAGAGAACTGTGTTCCCCATCCCTAACTTCTTCCTGTCCTGTATAATAGGAAAGTCTTCATCCCAGGGTTGGTGATCTTTCCTTTGCGCAAACCATAAATACCGTGAAAACGAAGCTAGAAGCTGAAAAAAGTACAAGATTGGAACTACAGTATCACGGCGAACTACTGCACCAATGGCTCGCTGTATTGCATTACACTCGAGTTTTGAAGAGAAAAATGTGTAAAAGACAATACATTCCTCCCAAATTTTCGTTTCGGAATACGACGCAACCGTCAGACTATATGTACTAAGCTACACCTGAAAGTTTCTCGATGTTGGTTTTGTAAAGGGTTCTTTTGTTCGTTTTCAGGGTCTTATGGGTTCGATGTTTTATGGATGTTCTTGTTTTGCTTTCAAAAGAGCACTCTTTACAGGTTGTTGAAGAGCCTCCTGCTCCGGCCGTTCAAGATCCGTCGACTAGTGAAGTCGCTGAGGAGGAGGACGATTGTGCAGATGATGGTGAAATCGATATCCAGGTGCTTTCTCATGTTCTGTTTTTTTTTCGCTCTCAACCTCTCTTACCGTTTTATACGCCTACGAATATTTCTGTTGTTTCAGATTCGCAATGTTGTTTGCAATTACACTTTGCCACTGCACATAGATCTGCGAAAATTGGCTTTAAACAGCAATAATGTTACGTTCGACCGAGGTCGTGGTGTAAGTTTCGTACATTCATTGTAATTGTGTTCTGTGTTTTTTTTTGTTTTCGTGGAATAGTCATGTTTTACTCTCCGTTGCAATAATAGTTCTTGTTTCAAATCCATTCTGGTGATTCTGAAAGTTTATAGATTCTTTAATGGTAGTGTTCTGATTTTGGCTGCTGTTCGGAATGGGGGTGGGCATTTTGAGAGTTTGCTGGTTTGGTGAGACCTCTAAACTCTTGTAAAGCGGGAAATAGTACGACTGTGCCGTTTAAGTTACAAGAATTTGCAGGTCTTCATAGCTGCCCCCTGTACAATCTTCGCTGACTACCATTTAAGAAAACGCAGCCGAACTGCGCAGATTTTTGTGAGATTTCACGGAGCCTACAGTTTATGTTTGATGATTTTTTGATTCCCTAGATTGATAGATTTTGCCAATTTTTTGTTTTAAAGCGTCTTCTGGTCAGGGCACTGAATTTTCTTTCTGTGAATTTCGTCATGGGTGTAAAGACACAGTTTTGCTAGTTGCGGATGAAGAAACATGCCAGGCGGATGTTTGCTTGCCACTGTTGAAGCGTAAGGAGCAATAAAATGGTATCCTTTCCTTCGTGTAAGTAATTTTCCACCAGCGTTGTCGCATACCTGCACAGCGGGGTTGGCGCCGCGCCAAACGCATCACCCTTCACCCTCAGCGATCAATCTGTATATTCCAACTGCTTATGATATTCTCGATCTATGTTTGGCATAAGGTCCTCAAAGTTTAGTTATTTGTAGATGTTGTTGCCTCACTATTATTACAGCCACTGTTGAAAGCTTTTGTTTATCCCTTATTCCTGTGGATCTGAGTTTTGAGCAAATCTATCGAAGTGGAGTCAATTTTTGCGACCTTCAGTCACCCTCTCACACTGATTTGGGTGTCTAAAAATTCTCTCTTCTGATCTGACATTTCCAGGTTTTGCTGAAACAGAAGCGTAAGCCTAACTGTTATGTCAAAATCTACAGCTCCGGAAAGGTTTACATAGTTGGTTGTAAGAGGTTTGTTTCTTTTTGTGTAACTCTCTACTTTCGACTTTTTTTGATTGTTCCTCAAATTTTAGTGAGGCAGACTGCATGATGATCCGTGCTAGAACATTGCACGACGGTTCAAGAACATGAACAAGAGGAATGAGTGTCGGTTTTAGTGATTAGAAATTATAAGTATGTCGAGGAGAATTTTTTCGAAGCTGTTGTCTAGATCTTGGCGCGTTCCACTCTTGTTTCTGTGCAGTGGTTAGAATAATTGGTAGAGAGCGCTCGCGAATGGAAATACAAGTTTCGGATTTGGCGACTGGAGTAGGTGTGGACGGACTAGCGGAGCGCGGAAGGAGTAGATGGACTCATCTCCTGTCGCCGTAGTTTCGCAAAGATGATGAACAACGCGCTTCATTTAATGCATAAGATCAAATTATTATATTAAATGGATTATTTTTTTACAAGGCGCAAAAGTTTCTCAACTGTCGGGCGCGGAAGTTTTTGCTGCCTTTTCATTGCTTCATTTACTAAGCGTAGCGCTTCGCTATATTCTTGGGAGAGTAACCTGGGGTCTAGTGACGGTTGCAACGTTTCCTGGATGAAGTTTCTTCATACAACCTCTCGGCAAAAAGTAACCTTACAGCAACATTTTTCTAAGAATTATTTACAGATTTGTATATTTGTAATCAGCATGTGCGAAAAACTTCCCTGTTTAGGTGTGCAATGTTTTGGCTACGTGTAGAATGCCGTTTGGTATCAAGATTGAAGAAGTGAGTACCTGCTGCTTGCTCTCATTTATTCTTCTTTAATTGCTTCACTCTTTTCTCCTATTTATTGCTTTATCTGCTGTTTATTATCAGATGTGGTTTTTTGCGTTTGCACTTATGTATCAGTTTCGAGCAGATTGGACTATAAACAGGGCAATAGGCGATGTGGCCGTTAAGGGGAACATTGCTTGTAATATCGATTCGCTCCAACATTTCCTGGGCTCTATACTGCCCTTACCCGTCGCGATACCGCCATCCTGTTAGGTTGGCGGGAAAAATCGGTACTTTTTTCAGAAATGCAAGTCTTTCTTTTTCTAGAAAGGCGTGTAACATCAAACATTTGGAGGGGTCGGTGGCGATGGTAGCGGATAACATTCTTGTCCATATTGCAGAAGAAGAAGAAGCAGGAATCAAGCGAGTGGTACTAATAGAAAGACCACTCTTTGATGTATAAGTGCTCACATTACCCTTCCCCCTCTTAGGGTAATGGGCAAGATTTGTTCGGAAATGTGACAGAACTTTCCCGCCGACCTACACTTCAAATTTTCCCAACCTGCCATCAGCCTAATTTCTCCCAACTTCTTTCTACCATTTTTACGGGTTCCCGGGGTTTCTTTCTAGATAATCTCCACCCCCCCCTCCACAAAAAAACTGCTGTCGAGAAACTAGGCTGATGGTTTCTGCGTAGCAGTATTTCTGCCAATGCTGCTACGTAGTTAGGCCTGACGCTGTTTTGTACTCGTTGCCCCCTCTACATAGTGTCGAGTAACCTGAAGAAGGGCTTATGCCCGAAACGTAGTCATATAATAAAGATTCAATGAAGAGAAGAGCTTCGCCGTTCTACTCATTACAGCAAGATTAAACACAATGAAGCTCAGGGAACCATCGATTCTGAATAGGCTGATGGTAGTGCAGGGAGGGTGTTGTACAGCGCACCGAAACGGAAAAACCGAGGGAAGTCAATTACAACATAGATTCTTTGCAAAAGCAATTCGGCCTACAGCGACCAAATATCACCCCCTCGCTGGAGGTCCCCAATGCTGGGTGGGTCCTGCTCCGAGATATCGCTGTAATGGCCATAGGTAGTGGATTTAATGAGCAGGATGAGCATTGAGCCTTGTAACGAATTTTCTCACGGCAGTAGTCTCCTCATGGCACCAATTAACGCCTGCTAACACTCTTGCACGATTGTAAATGCCTATCGATATATTGATCAGGCGGGAATAATCTTCATTCCACACACCGTATTACAACGCATTTCGTGGATCGCACTGCTCTCTGCCGAGGCCAATCATGGTTCCTTGCGATAAGGCTTGCTTTTATCGAATTTTTCACCGTTATTCCATCTTTTCTGGACAGTTCTTCGAGGGATGGTGCCAGTAGAGGCCATCTGCTTCATCTTTTATTCCACAACAGTATTTTATACAAACTTTTGAACATTCTACAGTGTTCCTTTCCAAAATTAGTGACGTCATGAGCTTTACTTTTAGCTTGCGCAACAATATCCAGCGCAATCACAGTATGAACCTGAATTGTCTGTCGGTCTGGTTTGGCGATCACAAGATCCGAAGGCAACGCTACGGATTCACACAACTGGTAGTATCACTGTTACAGGGGGTGAGTTTTTGGAATTTTCCCAAGTTAAAACTAGTTGTAGTGGTTACAAGTTCCCCGTGTCATGTTGAGAATCTAATAGACGCGGTTTTATGGTAACCTAAAGTAAAAGACGTTTTAAGGGCTCTTTTCTTGAAATTGTCTAAAGAGAGACTGATTGGGAAACGTCGACAATCAATAATTG